TTACACACAATCTACTTGTAATCTTGAGTTTTAARTAATATGCATTAATAAACAGTATTTCACGCATAAAAAGTAGTTTTTAAGAGTTTTTGTCAAATGCTTTATAATATAATATAGATTATTTTTTTTATAATTTAATTTAAGTTTAATAATGAAATAATTTATTTTTGGTTTAATAACATAACATTTTATAAAGATAATAGTTAAGTATTCTGTTAGAACTCAATGATTATACTAATTATATTTTAAATTTTTTATATTTAAAATGAGATGTTTATCATGTATTTGATTATGTTTATCTGCAGTTAGTTACACGAATTCAGGTATGGAATGAAATCGTTTAGGGATGAACGAGTTTAAGAGTTTTTAAGTTTTAGCCAAATACTTTATAATATAGTATAGATATGCAAAGAAAATCATTAAATAAAAATATATTAAATAACACATAGGAATGCAATTAATCTACCTTAAAATTAATTTCCTCCCCTTTGACGGTTTGACTTACTTCCAGAATTTTGACTGCAGTTTTATTCAAGTCGGTAACATAACGACAAAAAAGAGACCGTTAGAAATATATGTATAAATTCAATATTCTACCTTAACAATTCTTGAAAAGGCACATAATAAGACATAACATAAAATTGTGTGCTTTTGGCCCCACATTAATTCCAACAAGTACGTTTTTGTTATATACAAAAGTAAGATGTTTTTGTTAATAAAGAATATTGTGTTAACTTTATGAACTTATTGATTTAGATTTATCTCTCGAAACGTTGTAATTAGGTTAAAAATACATCGGACGATTTTGCGGAAGGTGACCAATAGACAAAAATCTTGGATCCGCCACTGTTTATATGTCATGATCTTTTCCACAATACCCTTGTTCAAGAATGTTCACCAATGTTTATTTCTCTTCAATTTTTCATTTATTACAAATATGTCATGATTAATTTTAATCCATAGATTGCAAGAGGATCAAGGGCTAAGATTGGTTCAAATGGTTAACACCAGTTATTGGGTTCATAACCATATGGTGTTCAATGAGATTGTCCGAAAGTGTTCATATGTCATGATCTTTTTCACAATACATGAACATTCATAAATGTTACGAGACTTCTCAATAATTCTAAAATTGTTACCGTGCAACTTTAGACCATTAAATCATTAACTTATAAAGTTGATCAATGAATATAAATTGGTCTTATGGGTCTCACGAAAAACCCTTGATCTCATTTGAACCCAAGTCTATATATACACACACATAGTCTAATTTATTGATAGAGAATTGGATTTAAGAGAAAATTATTAAAATTTGAAAAACGAATGAGCTCTCTATTAATTTCTAGATAAAAAGTGGATGAATAAGATTTTGATGGTATTTTTATATGTAACACCCGTGGTTTTACGGTTAATTGTTTAAGGGTGTAGATATGTTTTAACAAGTCATTCAGTGTCCAACCATCATTAAACGTCTGTGGCATTTGAATCAAGAGTCACGGTTGTGTTATGATGAATAAAAGTTTGTGTTGAAAGTCATGTGGACATCAAGGGACCTCTCATGCAAGTTTCGTCACGCGAGAAGTCGCAAATTAGCTTAAAAACACAATAAAGTGCCAAGCTGATTGTCAAGTGAGTTAAAGTTACTTCAAAAGTTGTGTTGGGCTCTGGAAACCTGATTTTAGGCTCGCAAGACTTTCCACGCTGTGGAAAGTTGCGTAGATGCCTGGGGTTTTCATCTTTGTCTTTTAAATCTAGGATTTGGTTCTTTTGCACCAACAACTCTCATTCTCTCTTGAGGTTTTTTTTTTTTTTTTGTGGGAGATAAGGAGGTGTTCTTGAGGGCTTTGCATCATAAATCTAGAAGTATGACTTGAGGATCTAAGGTTTTCATCAAAGAAAGCTCAAGATTTGGGTAAAACTTAGATTTAACCTAAATTTAGCAAGGTGAATTCAAGTTGCTTTCTGAAAACTTTGTACATGCCAAAATGTTCATTTTGAAATATTAATGTGTTTTACTTGATATTTATCAAATGTGTGAATTATTTGGGAGTTTTGCATATTTGAAATATTTGATTTATATATCTCACAAGATACTCCTATTTTGGATTTTTTTTTGGATATTTTGATAAATAAAACATAAGGGTTGGTTCTTTTCATGATTTATCTAATAAATAGATATTATTTGGCGATAATTCATTTTAATTTTATCGAACAACAAGCATACGATTTATTTGGTGTATTTGGAAAAAAAAATTAGTCGTTTTTTTTTAAGAAATATTTTTAAAAACCCTTGTATTGTTGAGGGCACTCAGGGCATTTGATTCGATGGAATTTTCGTGAGATATTTGAATTTCATGGAGGATTTGAAATTTTTGGTGTGTTTGATTTGTATGATTGAAATGGAATTGAATTATTTTTCTTATAAATAATATATAACAACAAATCATAAAAAAAATATAAAAATAATCAAATTATCTTTTTATTATTTTGTCGTTACAAAATAAGTGTTTTTAACATATTTTAAATCATTATTACAAGCAAATCCTGCCAACTTACCTCTTGGGATTTCAAAATCATATGTTTGTAGGATTTCAATAAAATCATGGGATTTCAAATCCAGAAAATCATTGAAACCAAATATGAGATTGGAATGAAATTCAATTCCAAATCCCTCAAAATCCAATCAAGTCCCACAAATCAAATAAGACCTAGGGAAATTAAATTTGGTTATCGACATGATTTGATAAAATCCCTCGTTTATCTCCTTAACCCAAGCGAAATGGAATGAAAAAGTCAAATTAAAATTGTGGGTTGGGAATCGATTAGGAACCTCATTTTCGTTAAGAATTAGAGGATCGCTCATAGCACGACATATTACATTTCTATCAGAAATATGAAAGTTTTATTCATCATATATGTGTTATTCATGATGAATATTAACACTGAAAATTGATATGCAGCACATTGTAGGTGGTTCTCAAGTTCTCAACTGAAATTCTCTCTCTCTCTCTCTCTCTATATATATATATATATATAGAGAGAGAGAGAGAGAGAGAGAAGTCTAATAAAACTCAACCAACTTTTCCCATTTTGAATGATTTAGTTCTCAAACTTGTTTTTAAATGAAAAAAATCATTAAACTTTCTCGTTTTTGAATAGTTTAATCCTTAAAACTTTTTTTTTTGAATTAAAAACCCATTAATTTTTTTCATTTTGAATGATTAAGTTTTTAAATTTTTTTTGAATAAATAAACATTGAACTTTTAAAAATTGGTTACTTATATTATTTTAACCTAAAAAACATACCTAAAATTCGCTATGAACGTTTTAAAACAGAAAAAAAAAATTAAATTGATTTTACCATCCCCTCGCAGATTCATTGTAGTTTGCTCTCTTTACAAATAGGTTAAAAAATTTATATTGTGAAACAAATACATTATAAAATAAATATATGTATATTAATATTCTCAATCTTAGTTTTAGATAAAAAAAATATATTAAATAATACATTATACATTAATTTTCAAGATTATCCAAATAGAATATGTCTTCCAAAATATACTCATTTTACAGATTTTAAAATTAGATAATATTTTTAAAATATTAAATAAATATAACCTTTCAATAAAATTTTAAATAAATTAATTTTATTGGAAATTATGGAATAATTTCATTGGTGCCTTGTGGGAATAATAAAAATTCATTTATATTTATGCAATATTTAATATTTGAGAACATGTTCAACAATTATGTTATGATTTTTTTAAAATAGAGTATTAAAAGATAAAATTTTTAGAAAAAATTACATTTAACTCCAACAGCTACTTTATTTTAATATTCTAACATTAATTATATTAATAAAATATTACTTTTCTCTCTTACACATTTTACTTTAATAGCTTTAATTAGTTGGATATAATTAAAAATATTATTTTCTCTTTTTTTTATAGAGTTTTAAAGATTTCTTTAAATTTAGAGATTTTCACAATCTCTCACATCTTTTCTCTATTTTAGCATAGATGATAGCATAGCAATTGGAACAACAAAAATGCTAAAATACCTCTTTTCTTTATTTTAGCATAGTTGTTGAAGATGTTCCGAGAATTTCTAAATTTAGAAAAAAAATTATATCTAGTTCCTATTTTTATCAATTTTATTGCCGTAAAATAATAGGTTAAAAACTTTAGAATTTTAACTCTCTCTAAAATATCTGTTGAAGATTCTCTAAACTATTAACTTCATTTTTTTTTATTCAAAAACACGAAAATAAATAAAATATAATAATTTTTTCCATTTCAAGAATACCAAAACAAAATATTACATGTATTTTTCTTAATGTTATATGTTTAACATAAGGGTCATTTATTAAATACTTACCCAGTAAGCACTTTCATATTAATTATTTAATGAATATAGTAATGACCGATAATCTTACCTGATAAAAACAAAGGTATGAATCAAGAATCTTACACGGTAAGTGACAGTGACGATTATTATCTAATTAGTGCTTATTTAATAAATTGTTGCATACAATGTCGTTTTTATAAACTACAATTTTACTTAATAAAATAAATGATAGTGTTAAATAGTACTGATAAACGTTTACCGGATAATTTTGTGGGTAAATGACAATTAAAGTTATAGAAAAGAAAAAGATTTTATTTCTTTAATATGATTTATAATTAAATTTAATGCTGTAACCCGTTACGAATATAAATCTTGGTCAGAAGGAGCAAAACGGAAAGAACCGGTTTTATGGATTCTCTCTCTCTCAAAAGTTCGTTAATGGCGGAGCGTTAAGACGAAGCCAAAAACTACCTTCACGAACACAGTAATTTTTTTGCACAGATCTCCAAGGAACCCCATATATAATTCTTAAATGGCCCAAAGAACCGCTTCGATTCTAAAGAATTTCGTCTCCGGTAACCCATCACATCTCCGATCATGCCTACGCTCCATCACCTACATGCCGCGACCCGGATACAACGGTTCAAGACCCGTTACACCCATCACCGAAGAGGGTAGACCAAGACCCGTTACTCTAATCCCTGGAGACGGGATCGGCCCCTTGGTCACCGGCGCCGTTGAACAGGTCATGGACACAATGCGGGCGCCGGTTTCCTTTGAGAAATTTGAGGTTCATGGCAACATGAGCGGGATACCTCAAGAGGTTATGGATTCGATTAAGAAGAATAAAGTTTGTTTGAAGGGCGGATTGATTACGCCGGTGGGTGGAGGGGTTAGCTCGTTGAATGTTATGTTGAGGAAAGAATTGGATCTGTTTGTTTCCCTTGTGAATTGCTTTAATTTGCCTGGGTTGCCTACAAGGCACGATAAAGTCGATATCGTGGTCATCAGGGAGAATACGGAGGGGGAGTATTCGGGTTTGGAGCATGAGGTTGTTCCTGGTGTCGTTGAGAGTCTTAAGGTACATTTGGGTTTTTGAATTTTGTTGAATTAAATCGTATGCTTGTTGTTCGATGAAATGCTCCTGTGAAATTGGCCAATTGGGTACTATTTAATTGCAGAAACTAGAACTCAAAATAGAAGTGTTTGAGGTCAAATATAAACACCCTTTAAGTACAAAAGAAGGATCAAAATCAAAGTTGTCGATATCAGTTAATGATTACTTATGGGTAAAGACTTGCATTTGGATTGAAATCTTATTAAAAAAAAAAGAGAAAGCATCTACAAGTGTCAGCATTGTAAAAGGGAGTATTTTCTTTATTTGGATTCTGGATTTCTTTATTTGTAAAGCTTGTTGATGCAAAATTGTGTGCTTGTTGCTTGATGAAATGCTTATTTAAAATTAGGTTGCTCTTGAATTCCATCAAGTAAAACATAAAAGTTGATACTGTTTACTGTCTTTAGGATTATATGTTTTTGGAGAAGTTAAATTCGTGGAATTAGTTATGGTTAAGATAAAGTGGAAGTAAATAAACAAATGAAACTATTAAGTAGTAGAAAACAGTCGAGTTGTGCTTTCTACGAACATTATCGATGCTCAACAGTAAAGAACCTGCTTCAAACTTGCACAAGTAACCCGGCTGTGCCATTCAAACATAACATTAAAAGTTAAATTTTTTTTGAGTGATCGACTTTTTGAACCATGAAATTTGGCTTTTTGTTACAAACAAACCATTGTTCTTGCAAAAAATGATGACAAAGATAGCTTTACAAGAATGATTGTACAAATATACTTGATACCACCTTTCTTTGTGTGTATTTTGCTACAACGGTCCAAAATATTCATTATTGCAAATTATAACTTGCTATGAGAAACCAACTAAAATGGTTCAAAAGGTTGATGGCTAGGTAAATAACTGAACTTTGATATTGCTTTACCCAAATTATATAAGGTACAGAACTAGAAATGAATGCGTTCTAGGATGCCATCTGCAGGTAAGCATTTTGGACAACAGTTAAGCATATGTACTTAACATTTGTAGCATAATAGCTTTATATATATATATATATGTGTGTGTGTGTGTGTGTGTGTGTGTGTGTGTGTGTGTGTGCGCTTCTATTGTGTCTGATATGCTATCCTTTTAGGTGATAACAAAGTTCTGTTCTGAACGTATTGCAAAATACGCATTTGAGTATGCACACCTGAACAACAGAAAGACTGTGACAGCCGTTCATAAAGCAAACATCATGAAGCTTGCGGATGGTCTTTTCTTGGAATCTTGTAGAGAGATTGCGAAAAAATATCCTGATATCAAGTACAATGAAATCATTGTGGACAACTGCTGCATGCAACTTGTTTCAAAGCCTGAGCAGTTTGATGTCATGGTATGTTAATGTTAATTAAATATCCTAAACACTCATAACTGTCCTAGAATCGGATTTTGGGATTTCACAAATAATTGTCCTCCTTTCTAACATCGCTCACAATGTATGAGTGCTTCATGCAGATCAAGCATACTACAGAAAGGAATTGGTTCTTGCAGTTTTTCTGATCTGCTTATCTTTTGAACTGCAATTAGGCCCTTACTGACAAGTGAATTGGTTGAATCTTGCAGGTGACACCTAACCTTTACGGAAACCTGGTTGCAAACACGGCTGCTGGCATCGCTGGCGGCACAGGAGTCATGCCTGGAGGTACATAGTTAGAAACCACATACATATGTTAAAATCACTCCAAGTCTACAACAAAAATGGTTTTATAGGACACCAAGTATGTCTAAATGTACTAATGAACTCTTTTATATGACTTACGTTTATAGAACAAAACAATTATATATCCTATGTAAAAGTGTTACAATAAGTTGATAAGACTTTTTTGGGGGTCCTAACATTTAGGACATTTTGAAATAAAATGTCTTATTAGTTTTTTATATAACACTTTTGAGAAGTGTCCTGTGAACACATCTTTTTGTTGGACACTATATATTTGTAAGACACTCTTCCAAATGATGTCATATAAAAAGGGTAATAATATGCTCTATTTCAAAAGGGCCCTAACAAACTTGTTAAGATATCCAAATGCATCATATCAAGTTATTGCAACACTTTTACATAGGACGATTAACTGTTTAGTCCTATAAACTTATGTTTTATAAAGCAGCCTATTATGACATTTGGCCTTCCTATAAATGCATATATTTGTATATAACATGTTCCCTTCTCTATGCATGCGTTAGGATAAAACTATAAATAATACAAGAAAATATGCAGAATCCGCCGATTTCCATTTTACAGTAAGACGAAGGATCGTGCGAGAATAGGAATTAAAGTGAGAAGTGTAAGAAAGGATTTGGATCCTTGATGACTTTTAATCCCAAAACAACCCATGAATTGCACTTTAGAATGGAACTGATCTAGTGTATCTCATTAGTGTTGACTAGTGGTTCTCTTCGATTAGGATTGATCAAAGGGTGGAGATCCCTTCTTACTTTTCTCACCATAACTTTCATTTTCACCAGGACCCAATCCGTTACAGTAATAAGCACTATGTTTTGATGGAGTACTACTGATGGATTCTTACAGGAAATGTTGGGACTGAGTACGCGATCTTTGAGCAAGGTGCATCAGCTGGGAATGTTGGGAAACCGAAAATGGTTGAGAAGAAGAGAGCAAACCCCGTGGCCCTGCTCCTCTCGTCAGCCATGATGCTCAGACACCTCCAGCTTCCGGAATATGCAGATCGCCTAGAAACTGCAGTGAAACGCGTTATTTGTGAGGGAAAATACCGCACAAAAGATCTTGGAGGAAGTAATACAACTCAAGAGGTTGTTGATGCTGTCATATCCGCACTCGAATCATAAGGCGTAAGCTGCACCATTTTTCGTTTTTCTCTGGTCTGACCGTGCTTATTATTCTTCATTTGCATGTAACTAGTTGCTAGATTTTCTTTCTACCAAAGGTGACAATGGTTTTTATGAATAAGTCGATCCACAAAGCGCAACCTGTAAAGGATAGCGATCGGTTTTTTTTGTTTTCATGGCTATACGAATCAACGGCTCAAAGTCGCGGCTTTAATTTGCCAAGTATCTTGTTGCATTCTGAAAGTGAATTACCCTGTAGATCAAGAAGTAATAAACATTGAAGTTAACAGATGTTACGGGTGTGTGGTTGGTTTTCCATTAAGTCCTGTGTGGATTAAGCTGTTTGTGTGGATTAGTTTGTCTGTATAGCTTCGAAAGGTTTTTGGTTGGGAGGTTTTTTCATATATGGAAGGAACGTGGTTTTTTTTATTGGGAGGGGCATGTTTAGAAAAAAACTTGGTTTTCTACATAAACCTCCCCTTAGAATAAGCCACTTTCTATACCATTAAGCCATTACTAAACAATCATGTATAGTTGACCGAATAAGTTACGAGTTCCATTAAGCTCGTTAAGCTGTTTAGAAACGACTCTTACTGAATTACACTACACCAAGTGTTGAAATAAACTCTCCACTAATGTTCTACCTTATCCCCTTCTGGTCATCGAATTTCACCTTCTCTCCTATTTTCTTCATTTTAGATAATCGGGTGAAACAAATGTCCCCAAAATATTCGTTTTGGAAAACTTGTTGGAAATTCTTTTGAAACTTCGATGTTATAAAAAATAAGTAAGTTTTACATGTTTAATGACAAGTCTTTATATGCATTTAGTATTTATATAAATGAATTCTTATGGGATGTCTGGTTCACATGATTCCGACCGAATCTTAAAGAATTGGAATGATCAATTCCGTTAACCAAATTTCATCGAGGCGTTTGGTTTAGCTACAGGATGGAATTGATTTCCACATATTCCACTATTAATGGATTTGGTCATGCCCTTGAGAAAGAATTCAATTCCATTCCATCCCATTTTTTCAAAAAGATAAAATTATCCCTATTTTCCCTACATAATTTACCTAGACCCATATGACATCCATTTGAACCAACGCCGACCACCACCGATCCGAACCACTTTCAACCATCATTGTTCTGAACCACTGCCGACCACCATTGTTCTGAACCATCAATATTACCTGGTAAGATCGAAGGCTAGAATCGAGAGTCTTACCCGGTAAGTGAGGATGAGTACTCTTACCGTGGTTAGCGCTTACCGAGATAAATTGTTGCATACGATGCATTTTAGTGAATAAAATCTTACCCGGTAAGCGATAGTGTTGAATTTTACCTGTAAGTGCTTAGGGTAAACGGGCCCTTAATCACATGCGAACTCTATATATTAAGATAACTGTACAAATTATTATTGTAAGATATTGTTTTACATGATTTTTTTCATCTAAGACTAGAATTTAATATATTTATTTCTCAATGTATTGGTTTTATATGTTTCGGTTCACAATTTGAAACTTTTTAGTTGTATTTTTTGTTATATAAACACATAAAAATATGTTTACATTGTAAAACAAATATATGTTAAATCAGTACAATAAATCCAAAACGCAGATGGAAAAAAAATCATATAAATTAAAATATATGATACCCTGATTTTCGAATTTATCATAATTTTATGGATCCAAATGAAGTCTCTTACCGTAGGAAAAAAATGAAATCCCCCTATTAGAGTTGTTCATGGGCGGGATGACTCGTTAGACCCGTCCCATCCGGCCCGCTAGAAATATGGGATTGGACAACCATTATCGTGAAAAAGGAGGGGCCCGGGTTTGTTCGTTAAAATTAACGGACATACATGGACAATGTAAAAATAAATATGGACAGCCCTATCCGGCCCGTTTATATTTTATATTTAATATTTTTTTACGAGTAATTAAAATTGTGATAATGTATTTTAAATTAAATTATTAAAATTATAAAATAGGACTCTTTGATTATATTTGTTGAAATCCATTTATCATTTTAGTTGTTTAAAATTTTAATTGTAACCGTGTTTTTTCTTTTACTTATTGGTTCCATTTCTGTTTACCTAAATACTTACCTGGTAAGCGCTTACCGTTAGGAGTCAACACTATAATTTATTTTATAGGTAAGATTGTAGTAAATCAAAATGGTATCGTGTGCAACAATATATATGGTAAACGTTTATCCAAGTAAGAGTCGTCGCCCTCACTTATAGGGTAAGACTTTCTATCCTTATCATCGCTCTTACCAGATAAGATTATTGGGCCTTGCCATGTTCGTCCGATGAAGAAAATTGTCCGGTAAACACCTACTGGGTAAGCGTTTAGTAAACGGTCTCTTACACTTTTTAGGCTCTTAGGCAAGCCCGACCCATTTATAGGGCGGCAATGGCAAGTTGTCAAGCTCACCAAAAAGGGCTTGGGTTTTCAATATTAAACCCATTAAACAAAGAAAACAAGTTAGACCCGGTCCGGACCCAACCCCCACCCGAAATAATCACCTCTTCCCCTATGTTAACCTTTCTTTTAAAAATACATCAGAAAATCAAAGTAAAAACTTCATATTTTAACGCAATTTTTAGATATATTTAAAAGCACACCCCTTAACTTTCAGAAACGTCGAATGCAACCTAGACTTGCACAAAATTCATATTTCACCCCTAGACTTGCACAAAGTTCATATTCCACCCATGCATTATGAATCCTTCAACAGCACCTCCTATCTCAAGAAGGTCCAATCCATTTTTTTAGCATGTTAAATATATGATTTTAAATTTTTGGACCCAATTTTACGTTGTCTAACGCCTTTAATCAACAAATGTAAAACTATAACCCAACTTAGTGCCTCACTAATTTCTATCAGAAGAAAAAAAATAATACGTTGCACCATCACCCTTGTAATTTGTATATATGTATATTTGTGATCTCATTTTGTATTGTAATCAAAAGCTTTAGGTGTAACAGGGCCTCCAAAAGGATTGAAACAACCATGGTCTCAAGACTAGTAACATAAACTAAAACCTTATTCGAAAACAAACCAGATAACGCAAAAACAACAACAATCGAGCATTGATCATGTTGTAGTGGCGGGATATTGAGTAATATTGAGGCGGATAATGAAGGGCTTTACAAGACTTCCGAGATACAAATAATCCCCGATTTTTACCCCGGTTGTAACAAATGCTAGTCCACGATCATAATATCGCTCAACCGGCCTCCCCTCCAAATCCACTGCCAATGCCCCCGAGTTTCTCTCTAGAGAGGGTCTCTTTAAGTACTTTGCCAAAAAGGCAAGAACTTTGCGAATGAACGGATATCTACGTGCAAGATCCCAGTCGTACGAGTGATCCTACCAAAAAACATAACAAAGTTCACTTTCATTCGGGATTTTTTGTGTTGAACCAAATAATGAAAACCCGTAAATGGATCTATATCAAATCGATTAAATTTAGTTCAACTGGTCCATTTCAAGAATAAAAATATGTTGTCTTCTTATTCTATGTCTTCTCCTTATCACAGCAATCAATTGAAGACACATCATTATTTTAATTTATATAAATTTATTTAATTCATTTTCCCATTTCCAATATATGGACGATGTGGTTTTACGTGATTGATGGACATGAATAAAACAGGAAAATGGGTCCCACTTTATTCGCAGATGATACATTGGTACTGATTTGTTTTAAATGACATTAGTACGAGATAAGTGGATAGTTTTAGCTATATACGGTATCTAAGTAGCGGACATACCGTAGGAATTCCGATCCAGTAGCGACCTTCACCATCATAACGAATGTTGTCGGGCATACCAGGCAACCTATCAATAAATACGTCTATCGTACCCGCTTTTTCACCTTCTATGTAGTATCTCATGCATCTCATCCTGCAATTCACGTCACCAAAAGGGTCATTAGCCCAACAAGTATGTGCTCTGGAGGTCCAAGGATCAAGTCTCACTAAAACTGAGTAATGCATGTGAGTTGTGCCATATATGAATATCATATACTTTAAAAAACGTCAAAATTTCTAAATTTTGAGATCGTTATATACACAGAGAAATGAGAGAAATTACATCGGGGTTTCGCAGAAGATAACGGAGTCTTGATTTGGGGACATTTCAACACCATTAGCATAGTAGAGATCACGAGCAATCACTTTAGTTTGCTTCGTAGATGGATCATAACTCATGAATCTACCGTAAGGTCGACCTTCGAGCAAATCGTATACAAAATCATGCAAGTTATATTTCCATGTGGCGTCTGTGAAATACACCATACCATTTTCCGCAACTGCTAGAGCATCTGCCGTTCCAAATTTTACACCCTCGGCCTCCTCTGTCAACACTTCTATTTCCCCGTGTTCTGTTATTTTAAGTATTCCCTATTGACAAATAAATTGGACAGCAAACTAAACTTAAAAGTCTGATAAATTATACAAAAAAATTGTGAGATAAGTAAATAAAGGAATAGGGGTAACATGGACATTTAAGCAAAGTTGAAGGGTAATGTGGACATTTAAGCAAAGTTGAAGGGTAACATGGACATTTATCAACCTTTTCATATGAAATTTTCAGCGACCATTGCGTCGGTTAAGCTGATCTTCAAAATTCTATCAAATGATATTTAAACTACTGATCTTTAGTTGTTTATTACACCATTTTTGTTCGATTATTATTTATATTAACAAATTGAAAAAATTGATAGAGGAAAAAACAGAAGTTTGTTGTAAACTAAAATATACTGCTACAAAAGCTGACTTGAACATCGACAGTTATCTGAGAGAAAAACTCCCTTTATTGAAATTAGGTTGGACATGGGGATCTGGTGTAGCTCAAAACCACGTATACTTTTCGTGTGTGGGTGTAAATATAAGTAGAGGAAAATTCAAATGAAAACCATAAATATTTTGAGAAACTGAGAACTAAAACTATTTCGTGTATTATTTATGATGAATAATCAATTAATATCATACATTTTTATTATAAATAATTTTCATTATGAATAACTGGTTTGCAGGTTTCTCAAATTATTGACATTCTTATTTGAAACCTACCCTTGTATTAGTAATATTGATTAAACCTAAAATCATGATCATATGATGTCGAGTAAATTACATTTTTGGTCCTTGTGTTTGACATCACTGTTAAGTTTGGTCCATGCTCTAAATTAATTACAGTTTTAGTTAATATTATTGTCATTTTGTTTCAATTTTGGTCCCGTTGATTAACTCTAGTTAAAAAAAGTTAGTTAATTTAAGGGTATTTTGGTTTTTTTTTTTTGTCTTTTTCCTTTATTGAATTATAAAATAAACTATGATTTTAGTCCCTGTACTTTGTCAACGGTTTCTATTTTAATCTCATTTTGCAAACCATTGACAAACCACCGCACTATAATCATAATTTACTTTGTAATCTAATAAAATAATAAATGAAAAAGACAAAAAAAATATTAAAATACGCTTAAATTAACCAACTTTTTAAAACTAGAGTTGGTCAAAATGACCAAAACTGAAACAAAATGACAACATTAGCTACCAAAATTGTAATTAGTTTTGAAGTATGGACCAAACTTAATATTGAGCATCAATCACAAGAACAGGTAATGTAATATACGTAGATACAAATGGTTCTGTAGGAGAATGAATTTCAAGGAGTATTTGAAACGTTTGTTTTTTGAAGAAAAAAAACTCTTTAATACCTTTTTAAGTCTGAATCGGTCAAAACGTTTGTCAGTTTACAAAAACAAACAATTTTATTGATTCAGATTTCAGACGTAAAAACAAACAGACTGAGTAATTCAGATTTCAGACTTCAACACCACTTCTTATAAATCAGAAGTGAAATCAGACTTCATACTTCAACACCTCTTAAAAAACAAACGATACCTTTGTTTATTAGCAAAAAAACCGTTTTTGAAGTAATGTTTGATTGATATTAATCAATATTTAAAAAATTGTCTATTAATCCAAAAATTATCTATTTGGTTGGTTGTGGTTTTCTGTCTAAACTCTGTATTTTCGTTATGGTTTTTATAAATTTGTCTGGTTTCCTTTATTAAAAAAAACATACCAATAACAAAAAAACAATAAAGAAGGGATATCAATAATCAATAAAGTCAAGGTCAACTCTAAGTGGCCATTTGTAAGAGAGCTTTTTTTTTTTAATTTATGTCATTTTTTCCATGCCATGGAAATTGAAAATAATGGGGTTTTAATTTTTATTGGAATTTGTTTTAATTTAAGGGTTAGAGACTAACCTTATAGGCATCAGCCACGTATACTTCGCCGGCGTAACCAAGGGCGAGTCCAAGAGGCCGCCCGCCCGTGTTAACCCACTCCTCCACCACCGAGTCATTCACCGTGACTCGTTTTATCCATCCATCAACACAACTCGTGTAAATAAGCCCTAACTTCGGGTCATACACGATGTCTTCGGGTCCCAACAACTTACCCTCGCCGATCTTCTCGGAACCATGAAGTATCCGTGGGTTCGTCCGCGGTGCACCCGGTATGGGCTGCTTAGCCAACTCATCGGAGGAATAAGGAGCTGCATCGAAGGTGTCGAACTGGACCAGAAGTAGGCTTATCACGACGGTTCCTACGGCGGAGAGGAATAGACCCAAACGCCACGACATGGTGGTTGGGGTTGCACCGGCGGACAGATTTGGTGGTGAGTTGGACGACGAGGAGTGAGGTGACTCTGCCATATGGGATATGGCTAGTTGAAGATGACACTGGATAGCAGACTGGCCGATACATAGATCCAGGTTTATGTATAAATATTATTGTGGAGTAAATTACAATTTTGGTCCTTGTGGTTGACAATCTCTGTCGTCTTTCATCTTTATTTTGAAATGATTACATTTTTTATTTATATGATTGCGACTTTATTATATATTTGTAGGTATGGGAATGGGGCGGGGACCTGAATCTCCGTCTCCATTCTCATCGAGAAATATAATCACATCCCTACCTTGATACTCATCTTTAACAGAGAATGAGGATCCTCAATGGAGAAATGAGAATTTTTTTTTCGTTTATGTGAGTTATTTTAAATTAAATGTGTGAGAGACTATGCATGTTTAAATCTCAAACATTTCTAATAAACCTAAGACCAAAATAAATTTAATTTAATACAAAAAAAACCACAACAACATATAAGAATTAATAATCTATAACAAAAAAAAATTTAATCCAAAAAAACTTAAAGACACAAGTACCAAAAGATATTGAGTAATGTAAAACCATATCGAGTAATATATAAAACTTATCAAGTAATTGTATTTTGACTTGACATCCAAAATATTACATATTAACATTCATATAAATCTAGTTAAGAAATAGAAAATTATGAATAACTGTTTTAGTTGAAATAAATAATATATATATATATATTATATATAGGGTTGGGTTCACGTAAGACCAACCTATTTTCGTGAGACCCGTGAGACCACATTTTTACACGTAAACTTCACAACAAAAACACTGTGAATGTTTAAAAAAAGTCGAACCTTCACAGCAAAAACACTGTGAAGGTTTTAAAAAGTCACATTCACAGCATTTTACTGTGAAGTTTCAAGTGTAAAATGCTGGTCTCACGGGTCTCACAAAAACAGGCTGGTCTCACATGATCTCAAGTCTATATATATAATTTATTAATTAATATATCTAAACGGGTACGGGACGGGACGGGGAGTACGATACATGTCCCCGTCCCCATCAATGGTTTGAGACAAACGGGGATCTGTCCCCATCTCCGATTAAGCGGAGAATCCCCCGTCCCCGATCAAGGCGGGTGGACCGGGTTTCCCGATGGGTCGGGGCCCATTCCCATGCCTATATATTTGGTCCCTTTGACTAACTCTTGTTTTAAAAAAAAGCCAAATAATTCATTGGCATTTTGGTCTTTTTATCATTGCTTTAGTTTTCAATCAAAATTAAATGAATTCATTATAATATAATAGAAAGGTACTCGTATAATATAGCGAGATATATCTCAATTTTAATGTTTTATTTTATTATTTATTTATGTCGATATAATACGATTTTTAATGGTTTTGAGAAAGCGATACTGTTTTTATTTTTAAATAAATTATAAATTTAAATATATCATAAAAACATTTAGAAAAAAAATATCGATCAAATTTACTATTTAAAGTTTTGGTTTTTTGCGTAATTTTTTTAATTCAATTTTTATTTATAATTTAATAACAAAGTAATTTATTTACCTTTAATAATATAATTTTTATAAAGATAATAATTAAGTATTTTGTTATAACTAATGATTATTCTAATTGTATTTTAGATTTTTTATATTCAAAATGAGATGTTTATCCTGTATTTGATTGTGTTTATCTATAGTTAGTTACACAAATTCAAAAATAAGCTTTAATAAACTATACTTACGCATAATTTACTCGTAAACTTCCTCTAGGTCAACACTCTCTTCTTCATCAAAGTACCACCACCACCACTTCTTCTACCTCTTTTTCTCCGAAAATCCAAGGAACGACAAACCTTCATTGTTGATTCAACACGAATGGAACGATTTATCTTTTTTTCTTCTAGAAATACGTTTGATTTAGTTTTTCTGGTGTTTGTTTTTAATATATGGGTTTTGAAAATTTACGATTTGGGGTTTTTGAATGAGAAATTATCCAAGATGACCATTTTATACACGGCACGCTCATAAAATGACTACTTTTCAGATTTTTTTTCACAAAATAACCACCAAAATCGCCCCCGGAGGACGATTTTGACTATTTTGGGGCGATTTTGATCATAAGGTACGGATGAGTCCCACATGTATACTATTTGGGGAACAAAAATAAGATATTATATCCGATATATATGAAATCACCCTCATTTTGTCCAATTCGCCCATGGGAGCAATTTTGACTTCTATTCCTCTTCTAGTGAAAACAATCTATGACGCAATGATTTGACACATCAATGACGATTTGACGAGACATGGATGATGATTTTCATTGGTACTTTGTCTTTTTTAGAAACAAATGTAGTGTGTGTGTATATATAAATATTGTAGTATTCTCTATAAAACTGTAGTGATCTAAACAATTATATTCTCACAACACTTAACCCTTGAATACAATCTACCATCACAACCTTTAATACAAATATGAAATCATATCAAAGTGATAATTGTTCCATATATGTTCAAAGTGGCTGGTTAAGTGTTGTGAGAGTAGAAGTGTTTGGATCACTACAAGATATATATATATATATATATTTATATTACATTTGGTCATAAAAAAGACAAATATATATATTTATATTACATTTGGTCATAAAAAAGACAAATATATATATTTATATTACATTTGGTCATAAAAAAGACAAAATACCAATGAAAATTGTCTCCGATGTCTCGTCAAATCGTCATTAATGTGTCAAATCGTTGCGTCATAAGTTGTTT